GTTCATGCTTTTCTCTAGTTCCCCTAATCTTTGCGCATATGCACTCTAAAAAAAAGGGGTGTAGTGGGTACACCCACAGGCGGTGTAAGTGCTGCATATACTACACCCATAAAGGTGTACAAGTACACCTCAAGACGAGGTGCATATATACACCCTCCTTAGGGGTGCATATGTGCACCCTTTTATACACCTTCAGCAATCGGGGGTGCACAAATACACCCCAAACTGGGGTGTGTCTCTACTCCTTTCTTACACCCTCACTGTCGTTTCGGTGTGCAGGTACACCCCAATTTAAGGTGTACAAGTATTCTCTTCTCTACACCCACCAACAGGGTTTGCTATTACACCGTTGTTTACACCCACGCCGCTCATAGGGAACAGAGATACACCCGCCAACAGGGTTTACTATTACACCGTTTTTTACACTCACCCACTCATATGGAACATATATACACCTCATTCAATGATGTACCATTACACCTCTTTGTGAACCCACCTCAAGGAAACCTCTAAAAAATGTACGCGCCCAGGTGGTTGCAAAAAGGCAGGTAAACAGACACAACGGATTGTTTTCAAATCTCCTATAAGTTTATTATACAGTCTATTCCGTAAACAAGTACAAACGTGCCAGCAATCTGTGATATGTGAAGATGTGCAACGAAGCTATTACACAACTCAGGACATTAATGAGCGAACAAGAACCGGGGTGACTCTTAGGTAGTGCTATTCTCTCAGCAGCCGGCAGAATTATTTGCCCGAAATCGTGCCGGCAGTCGTCACTCATTGGCGATATAATCACTACATCGAACGACGATTCATCGACAGCTCAGGTTAGCTTTTTTCTATAAGCATATTTTCTCTTTTTTTTTTTTTTTTTTTTGTAATGAGCCGCCCCAGATTATATGCGCGAGGTGATTGATATATACGGGTATCACAGGTAGGGTAAACATTTTTTTAATGAGCCACCGCATACTGTCGCCACGAAGCGACGTGAACGGGTGGGCTGGGTCGGTGAGCACGCGCCTCAGAGACACACACACGACGAAATGTCCCTAGAGCGTGTATTTCGCGTAACGAGTCACGGTGAAACGTTAATGTCGACGAAACGTGTCTAGAAAACGTGTATCAACGAAAAGGTGTCCATGAAACGCGTGTTCACAAAACGCCGGGCGAATAAGAAAGTCACCTGCAGTTATCACATGATTGTAGACAGCTAATGGCAGGCGACTGCCGATAGAATTTGGGGGAAATTATTCTCCCGGCTGCTAGGAAATAGACACTGCCTAAGTTTAGACGTAATCCGGAACGGAACGGTCAATTGCTGCAAAGGAGTACGTTGCAGCGCACTTACGATGAAAATACCGGACTTGAAATATGTAATCCGAGATAGATGTTCACACGGGCACTGCAGAACTACACAAACACAAACACGGAAAGAAAGGGGTCTGTGAAGATTCAACACGATGTGGCAGAATAAGTAATTTGCCAAACCGAACTTTTTTGAAGAAATCGCTTGTTGCCGATGTACGTTGGACTTTTCAAACACTGGAAGTCTTGGTAGACTCGAATACGTTGTCACGGACGAAATCTCTGGCAGCCCCGCTGGTCGCAGCACAGCACACAAGAAACTAGGCCGGGAATCAGACATTCCCGGATCGGAAAGAGCTACTACGCCACCCGTGAAACCTTTGCCACATGATCACGCTCCTGCCATTACCCGCACCCAGACAGCGGACTCAAGGGATAAAAAAAGCCTCCGGTCCATTGGTCCGACGTCTGCGTAGCCTCTCCCACGCTTTCAGCTTAGGGAGAGAAAGAAAGGAGAAGAGTATACGAAAATAGCAGCTCCTTCAAGGCCAAAAGTGGCTGCCCTCGCGAAGGCTTATCTTCAGGGTTATCCCAACAATGAACGCAGCTAGAGGATTTGTCCCCTATATCCTCTTGAACGTTCGACCCAAAGTTAATAGTGCAGTGGATGCTACCCGTGTCCTTGGCCTTCAGGCAGGTGACGTGCTCTGCCTTATCTCTAGCTTGGAGACTGTAGTCACGTGATCCTACCCGGAGCCCCGATTGGCCTAAAACAAGCATAGCATCTACTCTACTGTCAATACCAAGCGAACAAAACAGTTCCATACTTCCTAAGAAACTGCCCAACCCAGAAGTGACCCCCAAGAAGGCATCCAAGCACACACTGGTCGGGGCGCGTGACTAGCGTGGCGGTGCACTGATACACCTAGAGGTTTTTAAGGGAGAGGAGGATGCTCATTGTCGGTGCACAAATACACTGGCTGGGCAACGGAGGGTGCATCTTTCAGGAAAGGGGTGCATGTGCTGCTGATACACCCGACTACACCCGTTTTTTCTTAGAGTGTGTCCTGTTGACTGCGTCATTCATTGTATCACCTCCGTTCGCCTTGTCCTTCAAACCAGCGATCGTCTCGATAAAGCTTGTCAGATTCTGGTCGATGTCTACTTCTGCTGACCGAACGAGGGGAACCGTTGCGGTCGTCGACTCCGGAGCGGTGATAAAAGGCATGTCTTGGCTCACCTCGATCCCTGGGTATGGTCGGTCTGGAGTCCTAGGACACTCCGTTTCACTGGCGTCGAGCAACCCGGTGTGAGCCATGCCTCCTGTCAGTGTGAGCGATATGTCAGGCAGCGGTGCATCTGCGCTTGTGTCGTCATGGCTCTCCAGGGATGTCGGTTCCCACTCTACACCAGCGAGCACATCCTCGGGGCATTCCGTGGCGGCTTTCAACCGCTCAAGCAATTCAATCTTCGTGCCGACAGTAGATAGATTCCTTGATTTCAGCTCCCGCTTGAGATCCACAACCTTCATCTTCGTCGCCATCTTTCCTTCGTCCATTTCCAACCAACCACAGCTGGAATCAGCGCCATCCTCGGCAGTTTGCTGAACCTCGCGTAGTCACATTTCAGCCGCCACCACATAGAGGGCGCAACCAGACATCCAATTTATATTTTCTGTATTTTTTATGATTTTTTTAATAATAAGGCACGATTAGCGAAAATGTGGGCTAATAATCAGGACCTGGGACAGTAATCTCCATTTCATGCTAAAAATATCGGCCTAAATGTCTGCCAAAAGGGGTCAAAATACTCAGTTTTGCCTATCAACAAATTCGTGATTTCGCCTGTATGCAAACTTTTTTTATGGAAAATCAAAGGTGAAATTTAGAAAAAGGGCCTCTGATGACAAAGCAGAATATGTTTTTCTTTCCGGGTCTACAATTTTATTCAAATGTGCCAATCCCTAAGCGCTGTACCACTGTACTACCAAATGAAGTTTGCCAAAATTAACTGTTTTTGTCACTTTTCACGTGAGCATTCCGAAAAAAGTTTAGGCCATATTACAATGAAATTCAGAATAGCTCTTTCTACCATAGTTGCAAACACATGTAAAAAGTTTTAAATAAAATGACCAAGTAGGCGGCCAGAAATTCGCGACTGAATAAGCTTCCGCGAGGTAATTGTTTTAAAGTAAATATCTGTCAAAATAAAAAGAAAAGCGAAAAAAGGGCCTGTGTTGACAATGAACGCACTCTTCTTCTATAACATTCTAAAATTTGAAAAAAATTGCTACAATTGTGCACCCTGTACGACTGTACTACGAAACCATGTTTTGCCGAAAAGGCCAATGTTCGCGGGTGCCCACTGAATTAGCGTTTTGCACTAGGAAAGCAAATCCTACATCAGAAGAAAGATAATGTTGTACAGTACAAGATGATATATAACACATAATTTTAGCAAGCTTGAACACGCCACAATCGCATTTCGAAAACGTGCGGAAAGCGTCATATGTCATGGCCGCCGTGGGACCGCAGCCTTAACTTTGACCGCGAGTTAATTACGTCAAGACATCCGATGCACGGATGTTCCTGTGACTCCATGTCGTAACTTGACGTCATTACCAGACGAAAAGCACGATGCTCAAGTCTGTACTGGCGAAACCCTTGTTTTCTTTAGTTTTAACCGCGAGTTAATTACGTCACGACATCCGATGCACGGATGCTTCTGTGACTGTCGTAACTCGACGCAGACATAAGCTCCTGTAACATATAACGTAACGTAAGAAAATAGTACTGTGTGAACGTACTTTAAGTGCAAATTCTACCCGTAGATATGTTAAAAGTGTTATATCAGTCATTTAGTTTACCTCCGCTGACCAAATATTTTGCAGTAGTTGATAAGCGAGCGGTCACATCACAAATCAGATACACATTGCATGTTGTTCGTGATGAAAATGTTTAGGAAGTAACTGGAATAATTAGAAGACAATGCGCCAAATACTCTGGTGATGGAGATCGCCTTCGGAGGTGATCGCTTTACGGCATACGTGTTTCGTATTCTGCTTAATTGCATCCTGCGGCTCGTACAAGTACTTCTAGTTGCCTTCATCGGGTTTATAAAACAATAAGGAAAAATAAATTGCCCCTTACCGTCGGGGTCACCGTTGATCACATAATAAACAACCTGGGGTGCTTCCGATCCGGAGTTCATTCTTTCAGCAAGGTGGCAAAGGGAACCGAAACTGTTAAAAAGCGCGGGCAGACGCTCCGAAAGCGGTAGCGCTGGGAGCGTTACTGGCGTTACGCTCGATTTGCTCCGCAGCGCGTGCCACTAGGGTAGATCACGTGACCGACCGCTCGCGGAGGCCGACCGCTCGACGACCGCTAGGTCGCAGCGCTCGACATTTGCCGGGGGAAGGGGCAAAACTCTTTCCTTCCGTCCACCTTCTACCGTGGCGCACCCTCTCTCCACTCTCCCTTTCTTCTTCCTCCTCTCTCCCTTGCTCCTCGAGTGCGTTTCAATGGCCAAGGCTACAGCTGCGTGAGCCTGCTTCGGCCCCGAGCCGATGCGGCGATCTCAGTGACATCCGGCGTTCCCACTCGTTTTGGGAGAACAGCGCGACGAATTCTTGAACAGCCACAAGGGACGGAGATCAGTGTAATCGTTTCTAAACCGATATGCGACTTTCTCAGGCCTCCTCAGATGTCAACCGACGAAATCGCGAAGCCGCAGCAAACAGTGGCGGGCATCGCTACTTCGGTAATGGCGCTCACCACCCGCATCCCTCCCTTGGCCACGGAGGAGGTCGAACCCCAAAACAGTAAACGGAGTGACACGCCCAACCCGGACCCTTTAGGGTCCGCTGAGGAGCCCCACTCCTGGCTGGGGACAGCGACAGAGGGCAGACCCCGGGAGGTGGACCCTGCCGTCCTGCACTTCCTCCATGCAGGGCAGCTCTGACGAGCTTTCCGCAACCACGGCTCCCCTTTGCCAAGGTGCCGGAGTTGAATCCTGAGATGAAGGCCCTGGCGAAGGAGGGGAGCCACCGCCCATAGGGTGGCTCGGAAGGGCCTGCAAATGTCACGGCGCGGGACCAGGCACTCGGAGAGGGCCAAGACGCAGTGGCTGCAGCTATGGGGCCACTAGTAGGCCTTTTGGAGATCGGCCTCTCGGAGCAGCTCATTGACAGGAGGGCGGCGGCAGACCACTTGGGGGCAGCTACTGCCTTCAAGTGGACTGCCTGGGGCGGCTCTTAGCATTGCTCTCCCGAGAGCGCCGGGAGGGGGTGATCGCACGAGTCACCCCAGACCTCCACCAGATGGTGGCCCACAACGGCGGGGATGAGGGATCCCCCTTGCTGTTCGGAGAGGGCTCCCTAAGGCAGCTTTGAACGATGAACGAGTTCATTAAGGTCCTCCTGGAAACCGACCAACCGCCCCCTCCCGCTGCGGAGCCAGCAGCAAAGAGGCCCCGCAGCTCCGCTGCCCCGGGGACCAGCGCCCAGAGCCGGAGGGGGGGGGGGAGGGGGGGCAGCAGACCTTTCATAGGGGGCCCCCTTCCCGAGGCTACACGAGCTACACCTACCTTCATCAAGGAAGAGTCAAGTGTAAACCCGCACCTCTTAGCAGTACCGCCCGCAGGCCGACTGGCATATTGCCGCGAAGCATGGAGGCTACTCACCCACGATGCATGGGTCCTTCAGACAACACAGAGGGACAAGCTGTAGTTTACAGAAGTACCAGCGATTCAAGGGTCGCGCAGCGTGCCGACCCGAGGGCAGTCAAATCGGGTCCGGGAGGCACTGTCCGAGCTAGTCAAAAAAGGAGCAGTCTCTCGGGTACCGCCTTTTAAAGTGAAGTTCCTCTCCCCCTTTTTTGTAGTGCCAAAGAAGAACAACAATCCTAGATCTCGGACAACTAAACGAGTCGGTGGAACACAACCGCTTCAAGATGGAGGGGTGGCACTCGGTGAGGGATCTTACCCAGCAGGGTAACTCCACGATACGTATACCAACCTGAAGGACACATATCAGTCTGTCCCAATCTGCCATCAGGACCGCCCCTGGCTCGGCTTTCGCGAGGGGGACAGGTCCTATCGTTGGAACGTGCTACCATTTGGCCTCAGGTCGTCACCGAGTTTTCACAAAACTATTGAAACCAGTCGCGGCCTATCTCCGGTCCAAAGGACTTTGCATCGTCATGTTCTTGAACAACATCCCCTCCCTACTAACAAACCAGGGACGTCTAATCGGGAACCTCCTACAAAACCTGGGTTTTGCCGTAAACTTGGAGAAGTCAGTACTGACGTCATCCCAAGACTTGTTGTTTCTGGGACCATCAATAGACTTGAGACAATTGACGCTCGAGCTCGCTGGAGAGAAACTCGCCAACCTGTGGGACCACCTACAGCAGAGGCTAGAGCAACCAGGGATCACTGCCCGCCAGGTTGCAAGCTTGGCGGGACAACTGAATGCATGCCTAATGGTGCTGCCGGAGGGTTCCTTTTATATCGGGAACCTTCCAACAGATTTGAGACAAGCCCTACAGAGAGGCACGTACACAACCACTCTTACACTATCCAGGGACACGCAGCAGGACTTAGCGTGGTGGATCCGAGCACTCGGGAAGATCCCAAAGGGCCAGATCAAGACACCCCCAGTAGTGCAGACGATACAGTCGGACAGCTCGTTGAAGGGGTGGGGAGCATGCTCGGAGGGGTGGACGATCGGGCATCACTGGACACCACTCCAATCCACTTCGTACATCAATGCCCTGGAGCTGATGGCAGCCTTCCTGGCCCTGCAGGCGCTGGCAAAGAATGTCTCGGGGCTCCATCCTTCTCGAGCTAGACTACACAGCAGCAGTAGCTGCCATCAACAGGAGGGGCAGCCTCTGCTCCCCACAACTCACCAGGATAGCCCACGAGCTATGGTCGTGGTGTTGGGCAAGGGGAATATCAGTCAGGGTGCAACACATACCGGGGCACAACACGGGTGCCAACCAAGCGTGGCCAGGAGTGATGGATGCCAGCAGTTGGAAACGGCCTGCTCATATTCAGTAAGGGTCAATTGTCTGTGGGGCCCCATGCACATGGACCTTTCCACAGACTTCTCCAACCGCCAGCTGAGGCACTACAGCTGGAAGCCAGACCCTCGGGCGCAGGGGCGGATCCAGAACTCCATTTTGGTGGGGGCGGAAAATTTGTAACGATACTATTCTCCCATTCTTTCGTGTGTACCGGGGGGTCCACCCATGTGAAATTTCCCTCCAAGAAGGGGGAGGGGGGATCCCCCCCCCCCCCTTGGATCCGCCACTGCTCGGGCGGCAGCAGTGGATGCTCTCAGCCAGGACTGGACAGGGCAGGGCCTCCATGCCTTCCCACCGTTCAGCCTTGTGAGCAGATGCATTGCCAATTGTTGCAGACCTCTAAAAGTCCGCTCATTCTAGTAGCTCCGGTCTGGCCATCTCGGCCATGATATGCCTCGCTGCTGCACCACTTGTACCAAGGAACGTCTTCTTTCCCATTCACACGACCTACTGCACAGCCACGATGGGCAAGTACATCCAATGCTCAGCACGGGGAGCCCGGCACTAGCAGCATGGAGACTGACCAACTCCAGCAAACACATAGCCAACTTTCAGAGCAGGCTGCACGCCTCATTGAGGCATCATGGAGGCAGGGAACACAGCTCACCTATACCTCTTGCTGGCGCAGGTGGGAACGCTGGTGCCATTCAAGGACTGTTAAGGGGATGGTGAACCGAAATTTGGATTTCAGGAAAAACAATGCAGGCGATGTAGGCAGGATGCTACAATCCTTAGAACACTACTCGTAAGGCGATATCTTGAATGGACGGCCATATTTTTGGAAAAGAGGTCGAGATTGAACCAGGCCGACGAGGCGCGTGACTGTAAATATTGCCGCGCGCGCTCGCCAACTAGGCAGCGCGCGCGTGGCGTAATGGAATTATCGCGCCTGCCTCCCACGCGAAAAGCTAGGGTTTGAATCCTGGAGCGACATGTATTTTGTTTATTCCTCTAATTTAGTGTTCTGGAGAATTCGAGAATCATGTTGCTTGTTCCAGGCCCGAATGTTCCACGCGTCGAAGTTTCTTCGCCGATTATTCCAGAAGACCACGCATGTACATTAGGGGCTCCGCGTGGCGAGCCGCAGTCAGTTTCGCCCCAGCGTTCGACTGTGCTGCTACGCCGACTTCGACGCCCGCGACGCTCTGTTATTATCTTTCTACCCTTTTAGTTTTTTGGCACAAGTTCGCCACATTAAACGTTTCTTTCTTTCTGTTTATTTAGTGTTCCTTTGGTCACCACCCGTGACATTTTGGTGGAGGTGCGGGGTACCCGCATGCCCGTGCAGCGCTCCCCTCCGAGTTCTCGGAGTGCAAGTCCGAACACAAGCCCCCAAGAACCCAACGAGGACCAGACCGAGATCCGATTAAGTCGCCGGAACCTTGGCCTACCCCCGGAGTTAGGACCCTTGCCACCCAGGACCAGGCAAACAAGGAGGACGACGATGGCCAACCAGTCGGAGACCCCGGCCGCTCCAGCCGTCGTTTACCTGCCCGTCGTACCGCGGACGGCTGCTCCATTCCACGGCGAGCAATACGAAGACGTCGAAGACTGGATTGACCAGTATGAACGCGTTGCCCGCCACAATTGCTGGACCGACGAGCAGCGCCTGAACAACGTCTATTTTTCGCTTGAGGGTACCGCCAAGCACTGGTACGAGAATCATGAGTCCTATTTGACGTCGTGGGACATGTTCAAGACCGATCTCAAGGCTACGTTCAGCAACCACCACCGCCGAGAGAGAGCCGAGGACCTACTGCGAACCAGAACCCAGGGCCCCAACGAGAGCGTCACCGGCTTCGTCGAGGATGTTCTTCGCCTGAGCGCCCGCGCCGATCCTCAGGCTACAGAGGAGAAGAAGCTGCGACACCTGATGAGGGGTGTGAAAAGCGAGATATTCGGAGGTCTCATTCGCAATCCCCCGACAACTGTGGACGGGTTCGTCACGGAGGCGACGAATATGGAACGTGCCCTACCAGCACGCGCCAGGCACCACGAGCGACACCCTGGCGTGACTACTCTGGCGACATCCGGATACAACCTTGGTACCGACCTCCCAGGCATCCGTGACATCATCCGTGAAGTCGTCCGGGAAGAAATCCGCAAGATGCTCCCCGCTATGGATCGCCCGTCCTCCCTGTCGCTAGCCGAGGTCGTGCGAGATGAAGTTCATCGGGCCTTCCAACCTGAGGTTCCGATCAACATGACGACGCCAGAGGAGCCGACTTTGAGCTACGCCGCCATGGCCCGACGACCGCCGCAAGCTAACCGCCAGGCCACGGCGCCACCCCGACGAGACCCTCCGATGTCACAGTATCCTCGACGCCAGGAAGGGCAAGTCCAGGACGTCCGCCCGGAGCAACCCTCGTCGAGGAAGACCGACGTGTGGCGAACGGCCGACCGACGCCCGCTCTGCTACCACTGCGGGGAACCCGACCATGTGTACCGCCGATGCCCATACCGACGACTCGGGCTGCGCGGGTTCCACCCAAACGACCCGCGCCCCCGGTATGGTGAACGCCCTCGGGAGATCGACGAGTACCTGCGACGACCCCAGTCCCCCGAGCCTGCGTCCCGCCGAGAGTTCCGGTCGCCATCGCCGCGACGTCCAGCTTCGCCGATGCACCGACCCCGACGTGAAAGCCTGTCACCCCTCGCTCCTCGCCGGGGAAACTAGGCGCGGCAACCCCTGGAGGTGGAGTTGCCGAAGACGACCGACGTAAAGAGCCTCCAAGAACGACGGAGCGCTCTTACTCCCCCGACGCCACGCATCGCTACGACGCCCCTGCAACGGTGTCCAACAACCTAAACGTCGTCATTGACGGCCACGACGCATCGGCACTCGTGGACACCGGAGCAGACTACTCAGTCTTG